GCCAGTAAAATACCTGCTAATCTGAGTGGAAGAGTAATTGTCTGTAAAGTGGTTCCTCCCAGCGTGCCCCAACACTCTGTTTATTTCCAGATGTAACAGGCACGCAGGAAGTACAACCCCCCCAGGGTGTCACCATGTCCCAATTGACCTGGCATCTTGGGCAAGGTAGCTTTGGAGCTTTTCATTTTCAAGGCTGTGAAAAGAAATGTAGAACAAAGAAAGAAAATGTGTTATGGATAAACAGGCTGTGTCTGCCTTAGCCAGCAAACTTATTAAGCAAAATGTTATGCTTCATTTACTGAATTCTCATATTTCAAAATAACTATCCAACCCCAGTCTGATAAATCCTTCCCACGAGGCGTGACTGACTTGAATTTTAAATAAAGGAATGTAGTAAATGAGTCACTTTCCATTTGTTCAGAAACACCTGTGTATTTCCAGATAACTTTATTCTCCATGAAAGTATCTCATTTTCTTTCTGCCAAATAAAAGTATATTAAGTTAAATTTTAAAAATAAAGTTATGTAAGAGAGAGTAAAGTAGATATTGATTTCAGCTGTTGAATAGTGTTGAAAGTTTCTTCTTTGCATTATAGCTATCTTAGAAAACAAGTCTCAGGTGCAAAAGAAGTTACACGGGCCCCAGACTGAGCATCCAACTGCGGGTTCTGAGCATCCAACTGACTCTCTGCATGCAGATAGAGAGTCTGTTGTGTACAGTACAGATTTTTCTCAGAACCTAAAATTTAAGCAGAAAATTCCCATGGATTTCAGGGTAAATGCTCTGCTTGTTTTTGGCCACATATGGAGTTCAGGAATGGATATGGGACCAGAAAAGGAATAAAATAGAAAACCTTTTGCTGATCCTCACAGGGAAAACCTTCTTCTTCTGTAAAACCCTTAAAAGAAATGGGTCCCAAAGTCTTGTCCCAAGCCCACTGCTCTTCTCTCTGTGTAATTTGCCCTTTACCACATTCAGCCATGGCTTGAACTGTGCCTCACAATGGTTGACTCCCAGATCCTCTACTTCAGCCAGAGACTTTCTCTTTTCTTGCACCCCTACCTGCCTGGCAAACAGTCCCCCTCCTGCGCACAATCTCCACCTCCAACAACAATACTATGATGCTCCCTGCAGATACTTTTCATTTTCCTCTTTCTTGAAATGGCACCTAATCAGTCACAAAAACTCATCAAATCTTACTTAATGAGAATTTCAGTCCCTTTTTCTAGAGTCTGGACAAATACAGGAAGGAAGGAAGCCAAATTGTGTATCCCCATGATGTGGAAGGAACCTGGAAGTGGATCTTAATTGGGTCATGAGGGGACCTGGAATACTGAAGACTGATGCAGTCCCAAGTCAAGCACCGAGTAGAGCCGAGGAAGGGGCCAAAAGTTGGCACTAGAATCATAAAATTCATCATCTATCAGACCTATAACATTGATGTGAGGACATAATGAGGGGGAGGTCAAGAAGTCAGGAGTAGGAACCATGTCTGTCTAGGTCATCTTCAAATCCCCAGAACCTAGCTCTTTGCTGGCTTATGGTAGGCACTCAATAAGTGCCTTATATTCAAAATATGAGCTATATATTATAATATTTCACTTACTTTTTATTCAAGACCTCATATTAAGCAATGCTATCTCACTTTTATTATTTTAAACTACTAGGTAGTGTTTGAGGATGACGCATCAGGCAAGAGCAACCTTCCCCAATGTTAGTTAGGGGTGGCTAGGGAAGAAACATGATATAACGGATAGATAAAAGGATAAGACATTTTAATAAAATTTAAAAATGTTTGTGGGGTTTTGACTTAACAACTCAAATGTTAGATATCATTATAAAAGTTGTTTTTAATTGTTTTTTTTTTTTTTTTTTAAGTAATGTAGAGATAAGACCCAGTCATCTACCGGATAAATTAATTTTATTGTTTATATATTTTGTGGCTTGGTAATTACATCACAGATATTCCAAAATACTGCATCTCAAATAATGTAGAGGAAACAAAGGAGATAAGTTCTAGAAAACTATGTTGAGGAATCAAGGATACTTGTAGTAATGATAATGAGTACATGAGTGGTAAAGCCAGTATTTCTAATTAACATGATTTTATACAATATATCCTTCTATACATGTATAAGATAGATTAATACATTAAATACTAGTAGATATTTTATAGTTTCTTATAAATCACTAAAAGTTATATATTTCAAGCACTCAAACCAGATTGCTCATTTCCCAATGAGATGATCCATAAGAAATGTTGTTGAATAAAGGTATAAATAATCTTTAAAGACAAACTTAATTAAGTAGTAGCATTAGGAATAATTTATTCACTAATCCATTGAGCCAACATTGATTGAGCTACTAGGTGAAAATCAATTAAACAGGACACAGAATGGTTTAGTACCCAAAAATCTACTTTCCACTGGAATGTTGACATATAAAATAAAATAGAGAAATACTTTAACTTTTTATTATTAAAAATTTTAAACATATAGAAAAGTAAAAAAAAAAAAAATATTTAACAAACATCCATAACCTGCATCTAGATGCAACAGTTTTAACATTTCCCCCAAATTGCTTTATGTATATTTTTATTTTTGATGGATCATGTGAAAGAAAACTGATGCTGTCATAAAAGTTTAACCACCCCCTTAATACTTTAGTATCTACAAAGATGAAAACGTTCTCCCACATCACTGTGATACAGTCATCCCCCCAAAATGTATAATTCCCTAATAAGATATATTTCCAGTTCACTTTTATATTTCTAGAGTTCAAAATATGTATTTTTACCAGTTATTATTTTTTACAGAAACAAAGGATTGAATGAAAGACCACACACTCCATTTGGTTTTGTTGCTACTCTTTTTTTTTTTTTTTTATCCTCCCCCGAGGATATTTTTCCATTTTTTGTACAGATAGAGTGGGAAGGAGAGAGGAAGGGAGAGAGAGAGAGAAACATCGATGTGAAGGGACACATCGAGTGGCTGCCACCCGCACAACCAACCAGGGCCGGGGACAAACTGCAACCGAAGTACGTGCCCTTAGCGGGAACCGAACCCAGGTCTCTCTGACCGCAGGCCACGCTCTAACCGCTGAGCCAGACCGGCCAGGGCTGTTGCTACTCTTTTTTTCCACTTGACTCAGTATAATGCACAAATAAAAATTACATGTATTTGAGGTATAGAATGTAATTTTATATAAGTACATGCTATGAAATTATCATGACCAAACTAATTAACATATCCATCACCTTATCTATTTACCAGATTGTGTGTGTGTGGTGAAAACATTTTAGATCTACTATCTTAGCAAATTTCAAATATGCTGTACAGTACTATTAACTATAGTCACCATGCTGTATATAGATACTAAAAACTTATTCATACTATAACTGAAGTATTGTGCTTTTTGACCAACATCTCCCCATTTCCTCACCACCCTTCCATTCTCTCTTCTGTGAGATCTACTTTTCTAGAGTCCACATTTAAGTGAAATCATACAGTGTTTTTCTTTCTCTGTCTTGCTTATTTTGCTTAGCATCATGTCTTCCAGGTTTATGCAAGTTGTTGCAAATGACAGGATTTCCTTCTTTTTTATGGCTGAATAATATTGGTGTGTGTGTGTGTGTGTGTATGTGTGTGTGTGTAACAGTTTCTTTATTCATTCATCCATCAACAAACACTTAAACAGTTTCTGTATCTTGGCTATTGTAAATAATGCAATAAATATGGGAATTTCAAATATCTCTTCAAGATATTAATGTTCTATGAATATACACTCAGAATTGATATTTCTATTTCTTAATTTTTAAAATATTTTTATTGATTTTAGAGAACGAGGAAGGGAGAGGGAGAGATAGAGAAACATCAATCTGCTGCCTCCTGCACACCTACTACTAGGGACTGAAGTGCAAACTGGGAATCAAATTGGTGACTTTTGATGCATGGGGCACTGCCCAATCAACTGAGCCACACCAGCCAGGGCTACTTTTTCTATTTTTTGAGGCAACTTCATATTGTTTTTTTCTTAATGGTTGCACCAATTTATATTCTCACTAATGGTGCACACCCTTTTCTCCACACCCTTGCCAACACTTGTTATCTTTTGTTTTGTTTTTGGGCTTTTTTTTTTTTTTTTTTTTTTATGGTAGCCATCCTAACATGTGTGAACTGATGTCTCATTATTCACAGTTGCATTATTCAATGCAATTTTTATTTGCATTTTCATCATGATGAGTAATGTTAAGCTCCTTTCCATATACCTGTTGGCCATTTGTGTGTCTTTGGGAAAATGTCTGTCTCTTCTGGTTTTTTGCCCATTTTAAAATTGGGTTATTTAGTTTTTTGAGTTGTATGAGTTTCTTATGTATTTTGGATATTAAACCCTTATTAGACATTTGATTTGCAAATATTTTCTCCCACTCACAGGTTGCTTTTAAATTCCGTTGATTGTTTTCTTTGCTGTGCAGAAGATTTTAGTTTGATGTAGTCCCATTTATATATTTTTGTTTTAAAATACCAAACCAATTGTCATGTAGAAATTTCTATCTTGTGATTATTTGTGTCATCACGAAGGGATTTATCATATTCCTCTATCCTGATGTTTCTTGTGAAATGGAAGTTAGATATAAGAACTTGACTAAATTCAGCTTAAATATTTCATTTGTATATTGAGTACTACAATATAATAAAAGCCCAGAGTGACTAATTGTTCCAAATCTGTGATGTAATTTTATCACTTGGTTAAGGTAATAATCTATGGGTGGTATTTTGTCATCTTGTAAAAACCTGATTCTTCATTAACTTTTCACTTAATGGATTTGGCATCTGTTGAGAATTTTTACTTTAATTATTTCATTAGGGGGTTGTAGAATAAAATGTACATTTATGATACCTGTTCAGTGATCAATGTCCAAAAAGGTTGAAAGTCCAAGTTTTTACGTATTATACTGTAATGGGAGAGTGCTAATCTTTGATTTCCTTTTGTATTTTCAGCAAAATGGGAAGCCACATTTTTATGAGAAGCCGATTGTTGAATCCTTTGAGGAGGCACCCCTTCACGTGATGGTTTTCACTTATATGGGATATGGAATTGGAACCCTATTTGGCTATTTCAGAGACTTTTTGAGAAACTGGGGAATAGAAAAATGCAATGCAGCTGTAGAGCGAGAAGAACAAAAAGTACGTATACCCATCTCCCTGGATCTTTGTCAACGCTATTCTTCTCTAAAATGTTCTCAGAAGCAGTGACACATGTATAGGTTCTAAAAAAAAGTGAGGAGCTCAGGAACTACTCAGGCTAAGTGCTATTTATTTCCACTCCTTGACCCTATCCCTTGTGTGTTCATGGACTTGTTTTATGCAAATGTTTATTGATTAATTACTACCAGATACTAAACTGAAAGTTTCTTCATACACTACCGTATTTAACTTTTATAACAACCTCATGAGATAGATATTAAAACACTGTTTTAGAGATTTTAAAAATTATAATATAAGAGCAAGGCACATAGATAGGACTACACTCTGGTCTTCTAGTTGTAACATGAGTATTATTTATATTCTATCCTGGAATAGAAAAGTGTGTCTAAATGAAGTGTGAGATTTTTATTTCATCTAGGGCTTCTCAACTTTAGCACTATTCATATTTTGGACTGGATAATTCTTTGGTGTGGGAGGCTTCCCTGTGCATCATAGAATCTTTAATAGCATACCTGGCCTCTACCCACTAGATGCCATTAGAACTCCCACATACTTGTGATTGTCAAAAATGCCTCCAGACATTGCCAAATATCTCATGGCCTGCAAAATCACCTCCAATTTAGAACGACTGATCTAGATACTTTCGATAGTTAACCTATAAAATTTACATCATCCTCTTTTCACATAGAGCTAACAGAACAACCCGGAAAACATGCAGAGATATGCAAAGAGCCTGCATTTTGTTAACATGATTTCCAAAGGGTTCAAATGATTTATGATGTCATGAATCTTTTTTTTTTTTTTCCTAAAAACTGCTTTGGAATACTCTGAGTGTGGTCATGCATTATTTAACATGATAGAGCCTTAAATACACCTAAGCAAAGAAGATAGGTGAGGCATAAATTTCCGTGTAATATGAGAACCTCAAATCATGTGACTGAGCAACCAGTACCTATGGTAGGATAAACACTTATTACACTAATGCTTCCATGAATAAATCATGTGGGGCATTTCTTTTAAAATTGCCTTAAATCAAGTGTATCACCTTCACAAGAAAATTAGACCCATGTTTATTATTACAATTCCTTCTACCTTTAGCTAGTATGTGAACACATGCTCTATATTAAGTAATGGATGCTAATATACTTAGGAAAAAAAAAAAAAAAGCAGGTCCTGCCATCAGAGAATTTGAAGTCTGGTGTGCAAACACAGGCTCATGAGCAACACATATGGCAAAAAGTGATGATGGGGAGGAGTGTGATATGGAAAATGGGAATCGTGTCCTGGATTTCTTTAGAAAATCAGGAAGCCATGATGCTGGGGCTTGAATAGTGAGCAGAATTTGCCCAGTGGTCAAGGGTACAAAGAAATATATTATCAGAAAAGGGCACTACCTGTGACAAAGTATTCATTAGCTCGTCAATCAAGTCAAATTATATTTGAACATGTATTTTGTGCCAGGCAATGTGCTATAATCAAGGATATAAGAATAATCATGGCAGATAAGGTTCTTGCCGTCAAGGTGCTAACCATAAAAAACATGTAATAAAATTTGAAAAGAGGTACCTTAGAGGTAAGTAGAGAATGTGAAGAGACCTAAAAAGAAAAACATCTAACCCAAACTTGGTGGTCAGTGAAGACTTATGGGAGGAAGAGAAAGTTAAATTGAGATCTAAAGCCTGAAAAGTAAGTAGTAAAACAAAGAATAAGCCAAGATGGGACCAAAGGAGTCTTCAGGGAGAGGAAACATGGTGTGACATGGTCCAGAGGTAAGAGGAAGCACTGTACATTCAAGGAACCACGGAATTCCAGTGACTGAAGTGTTGTGAGAGTGGGAGTATGTGCAGAGAAGATTGTTTCAGAGGCAAGTAGGGACCAGATTACAATGGGTTTTTATAAGTCATGGATATTTATTATAAGAACAATAAAGAAGCATTGAAGGATTTCAGGCAGAGGAATGCAGAATTGTAGATTAGAAAGATCATGTTCACTACCCTATGAAAAAGGAGTGCAGGAGGATAACATACAGACCAAAGAAACCAGTTAAAAGGCTGAAGCAGAAATCCAGGTTTTAAAAAATCTAGATGAGAACGTGGGCTGGAATAACTGGGGTGGTGATAAGAGAAAAGACCAGGGGATGTTTAAGAGGATGGTGAGGGATGATTGGTTTGACTTGAGAAATTAGAGAAGTGAACAGATCTAAGACCGCATCTAATCAGACTTGGGCATCTGAGAGGAAAGAAAGTGGTGTCATTCATAGAAGTGGGGGATAGAGGGAAAAGATCCAGCTGGAGGGGAAAAGTAGGCAATTCACTCTTTGACAAATTGAGTTTGAAGAATTGGCAGCGAGATATAGAACACTAGAGACTTCTGGAGAAAAGTCTCAGAAGGATATTGTGGCACCTTCAGTATATCTTGAGCATATCAACATTAATCAAACTCAAAGAAGTTAATGAGATCTCCCCAGGAAAGTCTATAGAGAAAAAAAGAGAAAGCATGAGAAGAGAACAAAGACCTTCATAGAATTTAATAGATGTCAGAGATGGAATTCCAATTCTAGACTAGAAGAAAAGTGACAATAGAAAAACCTTAAAATGGTTTAGAAAAGAGATCATTTGTGCTTGAACCAGGAAGAGGAAGAGGGAATGAAAAAAAGGGAACTAATTTGGGAGGTTGTATCAACAAGTCTTGAAATAAGTATAAAAATAATACAGAGTGGGGAATGCCAGCTTTCTGCTTTGGTTAGTCATGAGGATGGTAGTTGAATGCCCATCACACACAACCACACAAAAAAAGTCTTATTTTGGCAAAAAATGGTCACAGACACAGTTTTGAGGAAATACAGATTTCTGAATTGTAAAGGATATTGAAGCAATTAAATCAAACAGGGAACACTCCAGCTCCCAAAGATACAGGTTCCCCAGGTCTTAGCAGAGTAGACACCAGCTAGTTGGTCCTAGAAACTTTTATCACCAATCTGCCTGCTCCCCGGGTATAAGTAGCATGCAAGGTAAATCAGTACATTCCAGAATATTTGCTGGAGCAAAGGGTCAGTCAAACGTAAATTTCTCAGGTGTGGCATCTCTTGGCAGGCTTAGGCTTCAGATCTGCCATCTATTGTCTAACCTGTTTTAATATTTTAGCTCTATCAATCCAGATGGGGCTAGTTTTTTTGTTTGTTTTTTTTCAAAGCATGTCTTACATTTCAAACAGAACATATTTATATATGTGTAAGTTGGTTCTCAGCACAGATGACTCTGAGATGATTAGGACAGAAAGGTTATAGGGATGTGCTCCTGGGATCAACACCTGTACACTTGGGAGGGAGTGAAGGGGCAAGATGGTACAGGCAAATTGTTATGCAGTCAGGAAGTTCTTGAGGTGGGAGGGCTCCTCAGAAGCATTGAGGCAAAGGGATTGAGCCTTCAATGATGATAGATGGGGGCTGCTTCAGATGGGGATTTGACCTTGAGACAGGCAGCTCCCTTCTTTGAGCTACCAGCCTCCAACACTCCCAGCATTGGGGACCAAGGGGATACTTTAGTCCTGAACAATGCGATAAGTGCAGCACACAGCAGCCTGTCTGCAACACCTGTCACTCTTGCTGCAAGAACCACCTGAAACCACCTCTCAGGGGGAAGACGTTTTATTCAATAAATCAGTGTGTTGTATTTCTTTCTAAAATAAATAATTCCCTATGCATTTGATTTCTGTAAAGTAGAGATCATCAGTAAATTTGACCCACCTTAATAGCTATTCCTTTTATGTATCACCCTTTTTATTATGTGTTCCTTCTCTTGGAACCCCTTCAGATTTAGAGGCTTTCATGGCAATGGGCCCTAATACATTGCAATGGTAGCAATTGCTATACCCATGTTTATGGGACTTGGTCACTGCACACTGTATCTCCAGGCTGACCCCCAGCTCCAAACTCCTGGCAATATCCTTGCTGGGTGTTATCTGGGGCACATCTTAAAGTCCCTGGCTGGAAACATAGAATGTGATGCCTTTCAATGCCTGCTGCTTCTTTTAGCAGAAATGAGCATCATTCTATTCCAATAGCTGGTCACAGAATAGATAGTCCCATAAGAAATATCAGCCATGCACCAAATGACACCAGGAAAGAAAGCACATCTATGAAATGGTGGTGGACAAGAGTTGTTATTATGTTTTTTAAAGTATCATAAGTGGATACTATGATTTCTGATTACACTCTTTGACTCTGTTTATTTTTAATTTTTTAATCTTATTTTTGATAAAAAGTGTATATATTTAAGGTGTACATAGTATTGGTATTATGAAATGTATATAAAAAACATAGTCAAACTAATGGACATTTCCATCTCCTCACCTCTTTTTTCTTTTTTTCTTTTTTTTTTTTTTATCCTCACCCGAGGATATTTTTCCATTTTTTTTTTTTTTTTGTACAGATAGAGTGGGAGGGAGAGAGAGTGAGAAACATCGACGTGAAGGGACACATCGAGTGGCCGCCACCCGCACGACCAACCAGGGCCGGGGACAAACTGCAACCGAAGTACGTGCCCTTAGCGGGAACCGAACCCGGGTCTCTCCGGACCGCAGGCCGACGCTCTAACCGCTGAGCCAAACTGGCCAGGACTCTTTTTCTTAATCAAGTATAAGCATTTATTAATCCAATTTCTCTATTTTATCTTATCAGGATAACTTCTGTCATACCAAATCATCTATTCAAACTAAAGTGATGCCCAAATTTGGAATCTCCTTTTTATTTTTCTTCTTTTTGATTTCTAGCACAAACTCCCTGAAATTGATTCCAAAACATGAAAGCTCTGGTAATTCTTTATCTGAATTACTTGATTACTGATTCATGAGTATAAACTAAGTGAAAAGAATAGAACAATCTAAATCTCTTTTCAAGAGAGCACTATAAACATCACAGGCCCAGGGCACCTGGTACCTCCCATAGACTCCACCAACAATCAGAAGACACTGGCAAGGTA